ATACGCTTCCCAGGAAGCTTGTGGAATCGTGACGAATGCAAACCCTGGCCACTTTTTCCTTCCCTCACCGTACAATCTCATCACAGAAGTGTTAAGTTGAAGTAAGTTTATTTTCAATAAAACTGTTTCATTTTACAGCCAAATAAAGTCCCTACATAGTGATGCACAGGCTGGCCTCCTGAGTAACTCAGACAAGGTTTACTTTTGTAGTGTAAACATTACTTTGCAATATAAAGACTGATATGTCTTTATAATGAACTGTGTCCTACTCACGCAAGTCACCCTGGTTACACCGGCCATCTACACTCCCTCAAGGCACAGGTGCGTGCTGCCGAACTCACCTGGCTCAAACAAAAACAAGTCGCTGGGAACACTCAGCAGATCAGACAGCATCTATGGAGAAAGGAAAGTGAGTCAACATTTCAGGTCCATGACCCTTTGTCAAAACCCAAGGCTTAATAAGCCTGGCTCACCTGGCTTAAATCTTATTTAACAATCCATCAAAAGATCTGCCTGGATCACATTCCTCACCTCCACTAAATCATCCTTCTACTCTAACATAGTCTTGGAGGTCAATGACAACCCCAGGCTTCTCTTCTCCATTGCCAACCGGCTCCTCTGCCCACCCTCTCATGCCTCACCCATCCCCTCCTTCAACTTCAACTGAGATGCACACTCCATCTTACTAAGCCAATCCGGAACCTTGTTGTCTTGTTTGACCCTCAACTGTTCTTTCTACCCCACATCCGTGCCATGACCCACTCTGCCTTCTCCCACCTCCACAACATTGCCCGGCTGCGCCACTCTGTCTCAAGCCACTGAGACCCTCATCCACGCGTTCATCACATCTAGGCTCGACTACGCCAACTCCCTGCTTGTCAGTCTCTGTGACCCCATCACCCCTACCCTCGCCTGGTTCCACTGGCTCTCCATCCCCCAGAGGATAGAGTTCAAAATCCTTTGTTGGCAAACCCCTGACTGTCCACCGCCTTGGGACTTCATGTATTCACAATCAGAGAATAAATTCAAGATACAACACCACCAAAATTACATTTGTATAGTGTCTTTCACGTCGGGAGGACGTCCCAAGATAGTTAGGAATTGAGCAAATGGAAGCTAAGGAGAATTTGTTTCAGACACAGAATCGCAAGGATATGGAATGCTCTGCTGGGAGACGTGATTAAGTCAGAATCCATATTAGCTTTCAATACCTGAAAGGGTATGGCTCAGGAAGTGGACTACCAAGCCCGCCATAGAGGGTAACTTGATTCTGACATTCCGTTGCCAAGCATGTTAACTTGGAACCAGTTCAGCTCCAAGGAGGCCCTGCATACCTAACCCCCAAGGAGGATAGTCACTAGTTGGTCATTGGACATCCAACAAGCGCGTGTTTGAGCCCTCAGGAGGTGGATAGTAGGTACCAGGAACTCCCTGTGAGCTTGGTGGGCAACACAGCTCAGCACGAAATGTATGAGAGCATTGCCATCATCGTTCTACCCACAGCTCACACACATCCCGTCCCATTGAGCAATCCATCAGTTGAAAGTGCAGAGCTTGAACAGCGGATGCTTACCTCTTTGCAAACCAATCAAGCCCTGGAATCCAAGCCCTGGATATACGAACGGTTGGTCACTAACTCAGACTCCAGGTGACATTGTCTAGCAGCTGTCGTTCCAAGCCTCAGACTTTCCTCATGAGTTTCCTCTCAGTTATGTGAGAGACTTGTCATCAGCATAGTGGGAGCACCTTTACAGCACAGCGACATTCCAGCCACTTGATGTTCTTGAGGTCCAAGTCCAATGCCGTGTACCAAGCTTAATCAGCATGTGAGCCAACCGTCATGTCTCACTCTGTAGCCCAGTATTCAGCATGGTGAGGGCACTGTATGAGGTCCCCAGGTGAGTCTGCCAGCAGCACAATATCGTCCTCAAACAGCAGTTTCACAATCCTGTCAGAGAGTCCTGGAACACATATACCAAGTCCTTCCCCCTCAAAGCCATCCAACGCACATCATTCATGGCCACATCAAATAAGATGGGTGACAATGGCCAGCCTTGGCTCAGTGTGTCCACCATCAAACCTTATATGGATTTTGGAGCTGAAATACACATTCCAAGATTTGGCCATGTATTCTCATAGCTTCTGATGTCATTCTGACGCCTAATAATAATCCCTCAAAAACAAAACAATAATAAAATTGGTCATTTTCAATCCACGACTGTTTGTGGAACATTGCTGTGCGCAATTGGCTGCCGCGTTCGCCCACAAATGTACAGTCAATTCACTTTACAGTGTGTTCTGTGAAGCGCTTTGGGACGTCCTCCCGACGTGAAAAGCGCTATATCAAATGCAAGGATTATTATTATTATTAAATGAGAAGAATTCCTGCCCCCAGAAACCCATCTGCCACTCGAAGTCCTGCTGATGAGTTAGGCAGGCTGTTCTGTCAATCAGTAGTGTTCTGGAAGAGGGCAAACTTGCACGGCTCAGAAACCTGACTACCAAGACTCAACACAGACTCAACTCACTTCTACAAGTGTGTGGTACTATTTTCTGGATACTAGTTCACCCTGTGGGCTAGTTTACCCACATCAACAGTACAGTACTCCATTTCAGCAGGTGCAACAGGGTGAGAGAATGGTGAGAGAAGGTACCATAAGGAGTGAAACAAAACTTAGTTAAACAGTTGAGACAGTTGAACCTTGCTATAAGACACCCACTTATACAGATAATTCACTTACATGGTAAGAACCCTGTGGATCCACACATGGCCATCCTGCTTCAACATGTTGGCAGATGACCCAGATAACACTGATTATTCAGTACTTTGTGGAACTGATTGTTGAATATAAAGGAAACAATTTGGTTTGTATGACAACAACTACAACAAGATTACATTTGTATAGCGCCTTTCACGTCAGTAGGATGTCCCAAGGAGCTGGACAGTGTACAGCATTTCAGACACCTATATCATAGTGCCCATTCTTCCCATCACAATTTGCTATATTGTCTGTGTGACTGATACAATATTTCAGTTAATGTGATTTGTTAGTTTGCTGTGTTGATTCCTTTGCAGGTCCGTCAATAAATCCTGCACGTTCACTGCTAAATGAATGAGTATTGAGGTAGAGCTAATCACTGTCTTGCTCCTGGTGCCACCTGGAGGAGGGAGATTACAGGAACACTGCACCCAAGCAATATAAACTAGTCAAACTGTGCTCAGTCCCCTGTCGTTTCACCCACAACACAGTTGCTTCACTTCACAGTAGAAAAATTCATAAAAACGTCTTATTCAAACTTTAGAATAAAGCAGAGGATTTTATATCGCACCCTTATTGTTGGAAAATGTTTGTGTTTTAACATCAATATTATTATAATCTCAAAATTTTATTTTATGAGTAAGACAACAAACTGGCCACGATGTGTTTATTTGCATTTGTAGTACAAGCATACCACTTTCTGCCTTCAAGATTACCATTTAACATGCTCAATAGGTTTGTTAAACTGGATTGAATTCTAGTGTGAATCTTAATTGGAGCAGAAATGGGTGATCGATTCAGTTGGGATTTTAATATGCACGATATAAAAAACAAACTAATTTAATTACCAAACAGTGCATTGTCCAATTAAGTGTTTTGTTACCAAGTGCTCTGGCTGAAGGGCGCTATATAGATGCAAGTTGTTGTTGTTGTAGTTTGATGGAAGCTTTAGCAAACAGTTTCTTAATATTATTTATGAATTAAAGGCTTTTTAATAACATTAAAGGCAAACACCAGTCTTGTAAGTGTGGGAGGCTTATTGTTCTCCCCCCATGCTCTTCCTCCTCCAGAAAGAAATGTGATCTTTTGTCTCCTCAAATATTGGCATGTATGTGTTGTGATGTCAGTGAGTTAGACACTGCTGTGAGTGCTCAGAGAAATCCAATGCAACATCATCTTGTTTCACAATGCCGTTTTCAAAGATAATGGTAAACAATTGGTTTAGATTGTGCTGAACACTAAAAATAACATTGTTTTCACAAAAATGGGGAATCCAATTGCAAGGTGGCTATTTTAGTGATCAGTGTAAGTTAAACCCCAACTGTGTGTTTGACAGATCTTATTCGAATTCAAGATCTTCATCCTCACCTACAAGGCCATTCATGGCCTTGCTCCCTCCTACCTCTCCAACCTACTATCCCCCTACCTACCTGCCCGTACCCTCCATTGCTCTGGCTCCAGTCTGCTCCACATCCCCCGCCCCAACCGCCCTACCATCGGTGGCCGGGCCTTCAGCCTCTCAGCCCCCAGGCTCTGGAACTCTATCCCCCAGTGCCTTCGCCGCTTCCTCCCTTTCCTCCTTCAAGGCCGGTCTCAAGACCTTTCTCTTTGACCGTGCCTTCAGCTCCCCTCTCGACTCTCTACCCCCTCCTCGCTCCCTCCCTTCCCTCCCCTCACCCTGACCATTTCCCCCCTCCTCGCTCCCTCCCTTCCCTCCCCTCACCCTGACCATTTCCCCCTCCTCGCTCCCTCCCTTCCCTCCCCTCACCCTGACCATTTCCCCCTCCTCGCTCTCTCCCTTCCCTCCCCTCACCCTGACCATTTCCCCCCTCCTCGCTCCCTCCCTTCCCTCCCCTCACCCTGACCATTTCCCCCCTCCTCGCTCCCTCCCTTCCCTCCCCTCACCCTGACCATTTCCCCCCTCCTCGCTCCCTCCCTTCCCTCCCCTCACCCTGACCATTTCCCCCCTCCTCGCTCCCTCCCTTCCCTCCCCTCACCCTGACCATTTCCCCCTTCCTCACTCCCTCCCTCCCTTCCCTCCCCTCACCCTGACCATTTCCCCCCTCCTCGCTCCCTCCCTTCCCTCCCCTCACCATTTCCCCCTCCTCGCTCCCTCCCTTCCCTCCCCTCACCCTGACCATTTCCCCCCTGCTCGGGTCCTGACCCAACTGTACTGCGCTAAAATGGAATCTTGTTGTTGTTGTTGTTATTGTTGTTGCATTCTGCAACCTCCTACCTAAGGTTAGAAGAACTGATCAAAGTATTTCTGGAAGACACTGACCCTGAGGCCACACTTGAAGTTGGAGCTGACATGAGGAAGATTCAGCATTCCTTCCAGCGATTAAAGGTCAGCACTATGTAAGAATGCTGTTGTTTTAAATCTGATCCACGCATTACAATACGTTGATGCGATTGACTGAAAGACCCATGTTAGAATGAAGTTTTCAATATTTATTGTATTGCCTCCCAAATTGATACTGGTGAATAGCAGTTTTCTATGGGTGGCATCAATGAGCAATAGTCAAAACAGTAGTAGATTGATCCATATGTTCAAACATTACGGGATGTTCAACTTTTATTTTAGACACCATAGAAAGGTCCCAGGATAATGCTGAATATCAGATATTACATTTGTTTAAAAATAAGAGCTAATAGCCCTCAACAGCAAGAATGACAAAAGGTGGGTTTCAAGTGTGAATTAACATTTGGAACCATTTACACCTTAAACTATCTGCTGAATCTGTATTGAGAGTTCATTCACTGATGTCACAAAGCAAGTTGTCATTTGTATAATGCAGGGAAAATCATTCCCACTTTAAAAACACAGTCAGATAGCAGAATGAAACAAGTATTGACTGTGGTTGGGATATTCTTGAGTGATAGATTCTGTTACTTTGGTATTGTGGCACTGTAGCACAGAGCTTGCAGTGCAATTGGATGATGCTGTGTTTTTTTAATGAATCAACCACAGTGCCATTTCTTCTTACAAACCCAATGGTGAAAATCTGACAACTTCATCCTCCAAGAAGGCAAATATAAATGAGCATATTGTTCTGATGGGCCGAGTTAATATCTAACGGAAGCCACTTTAAAGAAAATGGTCTTTAACCTTTCATTCCAGCAATTTGCAAATGAACTGAAATGCTCCATTCCTAGCCTGCTGTTAGATAGTGGTCTCTCTTCCTCTAACCTGAACGGCGGCGCATTCAGAGAAGGCAGTGCAGCCAGTAATACAGAGATGAAAAAGTTAACAGACCTCCTACAGCAACGAGATAATGAAATCAGTATCCTTTTATGTTTATAAAATGCAAAATACTGCAGATGCTAGAAATCTGAAAACAAAAACAGAAGTCGCTGGGAACACTCAGCAGGTCAGGCAGCATCTATGGAGAAAGGAAAGTGAGTCAACGTTTCGGGTCCATGACCTTTCGTCAGAACTGGGGTATGTTGAGAGGGAGAGGTTTTTAACGGCTAGCAGAGATGGAGAGGCAGGGCAAGGAAGACAAAGGGGAAAATTGGGTAGACAATAAGGGTTAAAGAGGTGTTAATGATGCAAAACAAAGGGGGGAGATTGCAACAAAGCAGGGGAATAGAGGTAATACTGCAGAACAAATAGGGCAATTCTATGCTGACTACCTTGATAGAGCAGTTTGATTAGTGGCAGGCACCATCCGTGGAGGTGTTTCATCATATTGCATTTCACATACTGAACCTGGGCTAGCAGGACTGACAGGCTATGTAACTCTGGAGGACGTTACAGTCACGTCCAATCAAGAAACATTCAAAACCAACTTCTGAATTAACTGAATTTAAGAATTTTGCAAAATTTTGCATTCCCTTAATTTGCAAGACAGTGGTCTTAAGGCTAAGACTGAAAAATATCATCCTCAGAAGTAAGTAGCCCTGACTGCTTTTTTGTTTTTCTCTTCCCTTGTTGAGATAATCACACTACTCGTACCATCGCTCTGACTTTTCCATCTGAACCTTTATATTTGTATGGAATCTATGGAACTCACTACCCCAAAGGGCTGTTGACGCTCAGTCCTTGAACATATTCAAGACTGAGATAGACAGGTTTCTTATTGCAAAAGGGATTAAGGGATATGGGGATAAGGCAGGGTTAGGTTATTAGCTGGAGTTAGATTAGAAGATAAGCCATGATTGAATGGCGGGACAGGCTCGAAGGGCCGAATGGCCTACTCCTGCTCCTACATGTTATGTTATTTGGATTTTTTTCAAACAAAAATTTGGTCACTGGGCCTTCTTGACCAGTCGGGAACAGCAGTTTAGAATGTCAGAACTTTTGGCTAACAAGGTGATAGATAGTTTCTTGGAATAAATCTGGATTTTCTGGACAAAAGATACAAATTTTCTTGAGCCAATGCCACAGACATCCTGGTCAGTATGTTAAAGAAAGAGAAGAAGAAGGCACAAGATGCCATCAACAAACTAAACATGGAGAATGGGGAACTGACGCCTCCCAATAGTGCCCTGTCCTCAGGGTCAAGTCAGATGTCGAGACAAGCTTCTGAAGTGAGGTTTACTAGTACCGTAAGCAACTCAGGACCTGAAGCTGATCCCATTCACAAGAGGAGAGGTAGGTCCCTTACCATTGGGTTTGGGCTTTGAATCTGCTGATTGAAGTTTAAGGATTTCTGATTTTCATTCTTTGGAGTTTCTGTAACTGTTTACCTGGGCATCAGTGGTAGTTTATTCATGAGGTAATTATTTTTCATTCAGGTTGTGTATTCTGTTTGCCTGGGTGATATTCAGCCCTCTGAATGATGTACCAAAGTAACATTCTCCATACACAACAACAACAAAATTACATTTATGCAGCGCTTTTCACATCAGGAGGACATCCCAAGGCAGAGGGGGAAGTAGGGTGGCCGAAGGCACAGTCAAAGAGGAGCATCTTGAGATGGGTCTTGAAGGAGGCAAGAGAGGGGCGAGGTGGAGGGACTGTGGGATGGAGTTCCAGAGGGTGGGTCAGAGTGACTGAAGGCCTGCCCGCCAATGATGGGGCGGGTGAGGTGGGGGACGTGGAGCAGGCTGGAGCCCACTGAGCAGAGGGAGCGGGCAGGTTGATAGGGGGTTAGGGGTTTGCAGATGTAGGGTGGAGCAAGGCCATGGAGGGCTTGGAAAGGGAGGACCAGGATGTTGAACTGTATTCTCTGTGTGATGGGAAGCCAGTGGAGTTGGGTGAGGATGGGAATGATAGGGTCATAGAACTGGTGCGGGAGAGCACACGGGCTGCAGAGTTCTGGATGATCTGCAACCGATGGAGAGAGGAGTTGTGGAGGTCGACAAGCAGGGTGTTGGCATAGTTGAGCCTGGATATAATGAAGGCATGTATGAGGGTTATGGTGGCCTGAGGGGTGAGGCAGTGGCGGAGTCGGGAGATGTTGTGGAGGTGGGAGAAGGCAGAGCGGGTTATGGTATGGACGTGGGGGAGAAAGGACAGTTGAGGGTAGAACAAGACACCTAGGTTCCTGACTGGCTTGGTGAGATGAATTGTGCATTGGTGGATGGTGATGCTGCCAGTGCCTGAGGTGTGGAGGTGCTGGCGCGAGCCAATCAAGAGAGCCGCGGTCTTCCTGACATTCAACTGTAGAAAGTTGGCTCTCGTCACAACTATTGCCATTGAATCTGGAGAGATTTCTTTATTATAAATGAGTGCACATTGAGGTTAGTGCAAATAACTGGGGGGCATGTAACTTCTACAGACATTCTTAGTGCCAAGTATTCTAAGCCACTTTGCGATATCAAGATTCCCAGACGTTAACTTGTTGGTGGGGAGGGTTAAAGTAAAGTATTGCTCTGGGTTTGTTTTTTTCAGGCCCTTTTAAAATTTTATACAACTCTATAAAATGTTATATAACTCTGAGACATCTCTCAAGAATAAAGAACCCTAGCTTGTCTAATTGTTGTTTTTGGTTTATTGCTCATAACTCATTTCTCTAACACTAGAGATCATCTTCATTGCTCTCCGCTGCATTGCCTGTCAGCCTGGCAGCTCCCATACGTCACGATAACCAGAACTGTTCGCTGGACGTTCAGCCTGGCCAGAACACTATATAGCTTGATGACTTCTTGGGGTCTGAGCTACACTGATTTGGCATTCTCGTCCAGCACAAGTCCTGCTGCCTTGTGTGTTGACATAGTGAGTGATGAGTCAACTAAAACCTCTAAATTGCTTTCCACATCCCGTTTGGCAAGCTCCTGATGTTGGTGAGCTTTACAAAGAGAATAATGAGTATACATTGGCCACTTAACTCCACGTTCTGTGTAGAACTTCAATGGTGCAGGAGGTTGTTGCATTTGGGTACATAACATTGACTGCACTTCAGAACAACTTGTTTGAAACAATGCTGACTTGACAATGCCCATGTTAAATGCAAGTATTATTTATTTATTTCAGATCATAATCCTTTTTTGAATGATCTGTTACACAACTGAGATTCAGGTAGACATTAAAAGATCCTGTGCTGCTATTTAGAAAAAAATGTAGGGAATTTTGCTTGGTTGTTTTGGCTAACAGCCTTCCCTCATCCGAATTCACACCTCACAACATTTCAGACAAGTTTGCTATCATCTCGTACTTTGTAGGATGTTGCCGGCACAAATTACCTGCCTCGTTTGCTTGAATAACAGTGTTCATTTAATTTTAAATTATTCTCATTTTGTGAGGGGTTTTGAAACTTTATATTAAAGTTGTAAAAATGTCAGACATATTTAAAGTCAGGGGACTGCAGTTAGATAGCAGGTTGTCGTTATATATACTACGATGTGCTTGTGCTTGGTTCCCCAATACCTAAACATACAATGGAGTTCTATGCAGTCCATATTTTGAGGTTCCATTATATTAATAATAAGAATCCTTGCATTTGATATAGTACCTTATGATGTTTTCAAGACTTCTCAAAACGCTTAACACAAGTACAGTGAATTGACTGCATATTTTGTGCGAAACATGGCAGCACAGCAGTTTTCCACAAACAGTCATGGATTGAGTGACCCATTTATTATTATTGTTTTTGAAGGGATTATTAGCCATGGAAATGCGATCCGCCAATCGAGTAACAGCTGGGTTCCTACTTACTGCTAGCTAAACAGGGGTGTGTGGAGTAAGGAAACTTGCCCAACGTTTTGCCTTGCCCAGGAATTGAACCCAGGTTCTTTCGCTTGCGAGGCGAGTGCTCTAACCACTGAGCTACAGGACTCCACAGAACAAGCTTGATGGAATGGGAAGACAGTAAGACTATTATTTTGGTACAAATAGTTCAAATAAGCCAAAGGGCCTTCTTCATCTGAATCTCTTGTTTGATCTTATAAAATCCCCTGAACTAGCTCACCCACTCATCACGCTCACCATCGAACAAAACACATGCAACCAAGAAAAATTGGTACAAAAACGGCATACAGAAAAAAACCTTCAAATTAACCAAGTTGAGAAAAGAGAGACTAGTCTTGTTTGCTTGAATGCCTGTGTTCATTTAATTTTTAAGTTATTTTCATTTTGTGAAGGGTTTTATATTTTTTNATATTTATATTAATATCGTAAAAATGTCAGACATATTTAAAATCAGGGGACTGCAGTTGGATAGCAAGTTGTTGTTACAATTACTACGGTGTGCTTGTGCTTGGTCCCCCACACCTAAACAAACAATGGAGCTCTATACAGTCAATATTTTGAGGCCCCATTATGTGGTTAAGCATTTCCAGCACCTGTGTGCCTTTTAGAACTGGGCATCCAAGGAATGTGTGTTAAGAATTGATTTTGACAACTCGATAAATACTGTGTATTGTTCAGTTGTATGTCAGAAAATTGTTGAAATAACAAAATAGAAAATTGTGGAAATAGAAGGTAGAATACTGAAGTATTATAATCTGGGCTTGTAAACTCAAAACATAAGGCTGCTAAACCGATGCACAGATATAGATATATCATCATAGATATAGACTGGAGTACAGGGAGAAATCGGATACACTTTCACATTTAAATCCTACCCACACTTTTCTATCCTGCTCATACCTTCTGCCTCTGGTCTACTGTTCATACTTGACTTCCTCCATTCCATCAATTCTGGTTGAGTTTTCAGCCCCTATATCCTGGACTGCTGGAACTCTCATCAAATGCCCCTTCAACTCTCTCTCTCTTTCTGTCTCTCTCTCCCTCAGCTTTCAAACTCCCCTTAAACATGTATTTTGACCGTGCTTTTGGTCAACATCTCTTTCCCCCGCCCGGCTGGATGCTTTATATTGTATGTCTGCCGGTTTTGGTGGGCATTAAAGATCCTATGGCGCAACTTGAAAAAAGAAGAGAGTTTCTCCCAACATTCCACAGATAAAGTTGGACGTTCACTTCATGACTGTTTGTGGGACATTGCTGTGTGCAAATTGGCTACCTCATTTGCCTACAAAATACACAGTCACTACACATTACAGAATATCCTGTGAAGCAATTTGAGACATACTCCCGATGTGAAGAACACTATATCAAATACACGGGCTATTATTATTATTTATTATGATAATAATAATAAGTGCAGGTTGTTGAGTAGAAGTGAATTGACAACTTTGCCACTTTAGAGTAATAATTCTAATAATAAGAGTATGATTCATCTCTTTTTCCTTTTCTCCTGCCTCCAAATCTTATAGATATATCTTTGAGCATGTCTTTGGTCAACACTTTCAAACACGCTTTTCTTTGCTCCCTGATCTGCATCATCTTTCGAAACATTCATCTTGCACACAAGACATTGCATAAGTTATTGTTGACTTGCCAGCTGCAGTTAGAATTCTAACAAGGAACATTCAGTTGAACAAAGCAGCGTTAGCCCAGCTCATTTTGTAACAAGGTTGTGGGTCCTCTTTACAAAGCCCCATTGAAGAGACAGTCCAGGCTGACTGTATAGTTTAGGGGGAGGAAACATTAAACCGAGGGGTCCCGCTTGACTTTTCTTGTGGACAATAAAGATCCTCTGTTTATCTAGCAGTAAGTAGGAACCCGGTTGTTAGTAGATTGGTGGATCGCTTTTCTAGGGAAATAATCCCTTCAAAAAATTAATAATAATTTGGTTACTCAATCCATGGCTGTTTATGCGCAATTGGCTGCCACATTTTGCCCACAAAATATACGGTCAATTCACTTTACAGTATATTCTGTGAAGCGCTTTGAGACGTCTAGAAGACGTAAAAAGCGCAATATCAAATGCAAGGAATATTATTATTATTATCCTCATGGCACTACTCAAACAGAGAAGAGTTTCTTCCAGTGAGATACCCCAAATAAAATTGGCCATTCAGTGCTGTTTTGGGGAGATTATTTTGTGCAAATTGGCTGCCACGATTGCCTATAATACAATCTCTGCACTTCACAGTAGAATCCTGTGAAGCATTTTTAGAAATTTAATTTTGTTTTGTTTTGCCCCCAAAATAGAGTCAATTCACTTTACAGTATACTTTGTGAAGCACTTTGAGACGTCTCGAAGATGTGATAAAGAGCTATATCAATTATTATAATAAATCTTGACAGAGTGATAATGTACTATATCAAATGCAAGGATTATTATAGTTGTGTATTTATTTGTGTCA